TATTTCCTTTGATAATTTTTCCATCTATTTTCTTTTTTTCCCTACTTTCCTGTTTTTGGTTAAATATTTTGAAATATAATCAGAGTAAACTCTGAACTAATTAGAAGATTTTGTCTCTAAATTAACTGTCTTCATCTAAGGGAAATAGAAAGATGAAAAGACCTATTATTTTTGAAAAGAAACAAATTCTGAACCTTTCTATATTACCAGACTGTTTTCATTGTCTCACTTTATGTCTTAGGCAAGGAGAAAAGCTTCCATGACGCATTTATGCTTTTTAATGACCTAATTAGACAATGTGGATTTGTTTTGCTTCCATAATTACTTTGCCTGACAGAATAAAGGCTGATTTTTACACTAAGAAAATTCTCTCTCCTCCTAGAGTACTTCGTGAAGAAAAGGAAAAATAATTTATCTCATAGCAGCTTACGTTTACCTGACCGTAAACATGAAAAATAAGAATTAAGTGGGTGGAAATTTTTACTTTTACTGCTCACATTTTGTATTGCCACTAAAAATATAATAAAGAGAATTGAGTGTGCAGTACTGTATTTGAAAGTTCACTGTGAAGTGTGAGCTTCTCCCAAGTGTTTTATGAAGGTGATGTGTGCTTATGTTGTCATTATGTTCGTATGGATAACTGTGTTTAATTTAGGTCAATCACTTGTTTCAGTTGAGATTTTAATAACTGATTTTATTTTTGCCCATTATCAATTTGAGTAGTGAATAATATAAACCACACCAGTTAAATGTGGGTTATCCTAAAGAACGTACACCTTGTTTTCTTTCCCTCCCTCTCACCTCTCCTTCTGCATCGGTAATAAAATGATGAAATTAATGTAGAATAAATTCTTGTGATTCTACACCACTTAAAAAGTGCAGTGAGCCCAAGTATGAAAGTCACAATTTCTGATTTTTGCCACCAAAGGCATTTCGATATCTAAAACATGGCTAGCAACTTGCTGAGGACATATTCCTTCGAAGTAATGTAGTGTTTTTCATATGTATATAAATTATTGTTTAAAAT